AAAAAAAAAATACGCACTAAGAAATTATTTTGTCTAAAATATTGTATGAGGAACATATTATTAACATGACACAAATGTAGCGAGGGAACTAAGTACTAATCAAAAAATTGGTCAGTTTACACACATAAAACAGTACGCATGTATTTTGTATTATTATATAGATTAGGTTCTTTTTCCAAAACATTTGATAGGTCGCAAGTCCATTAGCTAGATTGTATTTAAGAGACCACAGATACYTGAAGAAAACCGGTAATAGGACTTATCATGTTTATGACCATAAACCACTCGACTTGCCTATATGTGTTGTGATCATCGCATGTTACATAACATATAAACGGGTTATGCTCCCCCAAAATACAAATCATATATTTCTTTCGATTTCCCTAAAGATCAAAATTAATATGTGGATTTTGCATACCTTATAGTGGCGGAATAATAACGCAAACATCTATTTTATTATACCTGGTACMTGTTGTACTAGGTATATAAGTCCCAAGCCCCAACTCGGAATGTGGTGCGTATTTTAGCGGTGAAGATGATAGGTGAATACCTCCCGAATACCTTTCTGGTCTGGTTTATGTATTAATAATCATGTATTGTACTTGCTACCTACCTAAGTTAGGCTAGGTCCTATTTGTAATAGTTAAATAAATAAAATTATCATTGATATTATAATATCGTTTAAGGCATCAATTTCATACCGAGAGTCTCGGAAAATCACAATTTTGGTTGAGCTTTGGTCTRTATAACATGTACCTATTACATTATATAGAACCTCTCCTCCTACAGTACGCTTTGTAATGAACGGTTAGGTTTGTGTGGCCATAATTTTCCTGTCTAAAAATTCCCAAAATGTTTATTAATTATTACTTATACGTTTATTGGATAATAAAAATATAAAACGGTTATTACTTAAGGTGTCTCGTCATGACTATACTTTTATTATAAATGCTAAGGAACATTTTATGGCCAACTCTATTCACGCATTCGGTCGTTGTGTTGGTAGCTGTTAACAATTTTATTGTACGGTATAATATTTAATTTAAACAGTTTAATATGACGGTAGCTAAACCGCGGGAAGTTATTGAGATAGCGCTTTGTAAAATATGTGACACATATTCATATGATARATAATTTAATTTGACAAAATTATTAAATATTATTTAATCTACCTATTGTCTATATCATACTTCTTCAATATAATTACGTCTGATTATTATTAATTGTTTTCGTTGGTCATAAACTCATAACTCATATCTACATAATATATTTTTTTAAATATTATAAAATGATCTAGACAGACGCGTCAACGGTTTGTTATTTATTTTAGGTATGAATAATAATAATATTATGCGAATGTTTGGTTAAGTTGTACATAAACGTGGTATCCGAACAATTCGTCAAAAAAAAAACAATTTGTTTACAAATTGTTATACTGGTCAATAATTTCATCGAAATATGGTTGTAGATGGTCAATAAGTTTTGGTTAGTGTATGCTTTGAAACTATACGCTTTAGTGTACGAGTTAAATAGATAATTATATTATTAGGTAAGTATGTAATGCAAAACTGTTCTCTCTTATCTTTTATAATTATTATATTAAACAGATATACTAGTTAGTGTATACTAATGGAAACAATCGTGTTATTGTGTTAGGCATATTTATTATTATATTTATACCAAACTGATTATTTTTTTAACAAGTGATACAAGCTAATTAAATATATTTACCAAGAAAACAAATATTATCATACCATATTAAAATTTAAATGCCATATACTATATTGCATATGGAAATTACAACGATGTCCATAGTACATTTTAATAACCTACCTAATTAAATTTTAAAAAAAAAAACTATTTGAAAATAAATGGAAAACATTTTAAATTTCGAACAAARCGATGAATATATTGTTCTTTTAATGTTTTTTTTTAAACTGATACACATTCACGTAAAAATTCTTTATTCGCCCAAAGTACCAAATACCTCGGGTAGGTACGGTGTTCTCGGTATTTACCCAGGTGTGATATTTTCAGTAACTACCGATATTCGATTAAACCAATACGGATATCGATAAAAAAAAAAAGCTCTAGCAGAACGCTTACCATACGTACAAATCACTACCTCCGAGCCTATAACCACCTAACCACCTACGAACTTGAACGGTAAACCATCATGTATGCGCTTTCGTCAATCCTACCGCAACGGACCTGATAACACAATAAGACATGACTTCTGTAAACTGTAAATAATTCGTTAAGTTAGGTTATACATTATACCAAATTCAAATCCTATATGCTCAAAAGCATAATCTTATAACTAGGGCATATCGGTATGATCGAAAAACTATTTATGTAAATTTCGGTTTAATAAATAACCACAGACCATGTGCAAACCTTTTTAATGCTATACTTTTCCATGTTGTACATTCATAACATTTTATTGCAATGTAAATATCAACATTTTTGGTGTAGCCGAGAAGGATAAAATTAGAGTACGTTTATTTTGGTCAAAAAAAGTCTMRCCCGCACATAATCACCGTACATGTACACCATTGTTTCACATAATCTTATTATAAAAGACGCATTTTTATCAGGTTCCATAATTTTGTAGCTAACCAATTTTTTAAAACTAAAGAAACAATTAAAAATTACAGTTTGATGACATGACTAAAAAATTTGACTCCCAATATTAACCCGACGATTAACTTTAATGTAGGTATGTGGTCAAAAATTGTGGGTTCCCAAGGTTTTGCAACAGGCTCAGGTTTCTTCTCTATGCAAGGCCCTGGTAATAGTACCTACCTACCTACCAACCAACCTCTTTACCTACCCAGGTCCCTCACATTTAATTTTGGGCCCGTGCACTAAATGTTTTTGAGGGCCAAATAAATAAAAATTATTGAAATTTAATTCCAATTTAAAATGAACTATAGATTAGGCTAACCTAACTCATTAAGTCATAACTAACCTATAGACGATACTAATGTCCCATACATGATTTATTTATTATAATACACATTTATATATCATAAAATATTATTTAAAAAAAAATAGGTATCTATTCAATTGAAACTTAGAAATTTCAAAAATAACAAATTAATTTCAACAGGCCCCTTTACTGTATGACCAACAGTTCCCCCTCCCCTCATTTTGGTGGTACTGTACCTAACCTTGTCGCTTGTGTTGCAGCCTGAGTGCTGCTCCGTCTCGTTTTCGTACATGAGGAAGGACCGGCATCCCGACAACTCCACGGAATCGGCAAGCCCGCCCGATTACCACCGCGATCCACCGGAAGAAGACGCTCCTCCGTCATTGATGGCCTACCCATCACTGGAGACACTGCAGCAGAGATTGGACACATTCGAGGATCGTTTTATCGACCAAAACCAGCAGGATGACCGGACACTCGTATCGCGAATTGCCAGAGTCGCCCCCATGTCTGCAGCAACCGAGTCGACGCGCGACCGCCAGATACCCACCCCGCATCCCGGCGCCTACAACACCACCATCCCCAGCTTCCCATGCACTGAAGTCGCAGCCTCAGTCTCCGCAAGTGTCGCCGCAACCACGGCCACGACCTCAGCCGCCGCAAGTGTCGCTGCTAGTTTCGCCCCAACCACGAGCGCTGCCGCCGTCGCCGGAAGTTCCACTGCATGGGCGGCGCGCACCGTCGCCGGAAGTTCCACAGCAGGGGCGGCCCGCACCGTCACCGGAAGTTACACAGCAGGGGCGGCCCGCACCGGCGGTATACGTTCCGCCGTACACGCCACCGGATGGAACACCCCCTACTCCCCCCCAAACGCCTCCGCCACCTCCTACACCGCCACCTACGCCTCCTCGCGTGGCCGATACATCACCAACTACATACGCCCTATTGAACCCGTCGATTACCAACAATACTTATACTGCGTAGCCTCCACTTCTCGCGGCTACCCCAGACATACCTACAATCCATCCACGATTCACTCCTACGCAGCCGGCTCACACTCCTCCCCCGTCTCGGGCTCTTCCTCCGCCAGCAGATCTGCAGCTACCCTCGCCGCCAGTAACCTCAACCCCGAAGCCCCGATCTTCCGCCCCCGATACCTCGACGCGGAAATGCCCAGCGTATCGGAACCGCGCAAGGTGGCCAAGCGGTCGGAGCAGCACACATCGGTCAAAAGGAACGACGACATTGCAGTCGGCCACGGTGGCCACGGCGACGATGACGACGAAGACATGGACATAGACATCTAGCCATGATGTTTCGATACTACACCGACGGCGGCTCCAATAATTATGTCGAAATAATATTTAAAACATTCATAAAACTTTTTCAATATTAAAATTAATGCAGGTAGCTACTCGCCGTCGAGATTTTTTTGATTTTTTAATTTCCATTTTTATTTTTATTTTTATTTTTTTTTTTTGCATTACTTATATTTTATTTCATAATATTATAAATGCTTTATATCTTTACGTTTAGTTAGCGCCACACGTCCATAACATTATAAGGCTTACACAATATTGTTATTCGTAAAAACTGTCGTTAAAGCCACGCAAAAAACCGAATCAGCTCATTACACCTAAGTACTAAATTATTTTAATACATTATTTTATTTGTATGGATAACGTGATACCGCACATCGTGGCAAGTACGCGAAAAACTCAACTTTTCAATTATTACTGACTGGAAGGAAATAGGGTACCTTTACTATAGTAAAATATTATTATTCTTTTATTTTTTGCAAAACTCCGTTTTTTTCCACGTGGTACGAAAAAAGTTGTAATTGTTTTRAAAATTCCGGGTTGTTTGTATGTTATTTTTTTCAAAAGTTGTACGCAACTTTTTCCGTCACCGAATGGACGAAAAAAACGATTTGCAACCAAATGGGCGTGTGGTGCCACATTTTTTTTTATTATTATTATTAAAGTCCGAGTGTATTACAAAAGCTTCAGACTGCATAAAATTGCCATCTCGTCGTAAGCTCATAGTACAATAATAATTATGTTCGTTTACCGTAAAAGCATTATATTAAAAACTTATTTATACTCTATTATACAATAAAATGACCTGTGAATAATATTTTATGTTTTGTGCACTCGTTTGTATTTTTACACTGCAATAATATTTTTATATTGTATTCATCTCAAAGTCAATATCAATTATAATTAATGGAAACCTTTATCGATCGTTTGACGTATATTTTATAACAACAATTGAGCACGATTGCGTATAGGTAGGTAATAATAATAATATTATGTGTGGACTCTTACTTATACACCGTCGTCTCGAGGTAGTGTTTAATAATAATTAATATCAATCGTCATTACAATATTATAATAATAAGCTTGTTGTGTACACTCAAACGCTGTTTTTTCATTTCGTCGTCGTTTAGGTACCTATATACTTCCTTCTTTCCCATCTAAAAAAAACAAATACGTGTGTGTGTGTGTGTCAGTACACACGAATGAATAATATTCGACTGTTTGATCGGAATTAAAATAATAAGATCGAACAGTCGACCGGATGGTGACGAACAATATGGTACCACTGGTGTTTTGATGGTATACGGTCTATACCGATTTGCCGTTTTGGCGTGTACGCTGTATGATGTCGGTCAAAACACACTGAAATTCACACGAATGCGCATAAGTAATAGTGCTGTAAACACCTTGACGCCAGCAATAATAATTATGCATTATTATTAATAGGCGCATCTACAGTCAAGGTCGGATGAGATATTCAAAAAAAATATTCAAATATTGAATTCATTCAAAAAAAARAAAAAAAAAAAAAACCAGACGGGCGTTACACTCCGGAGTGCCGGCAGAAATGAAAACTTGAATATTGTTGAATAACGTTGTGCATTTTCGATGTTTTTGAATGGTTAGATAATAAGATTTTGCACGAATATTGCTTTATTTGTCCGGATTTTGAAGGCAAAAGCCTTTCTTTTAATAATCATAATAGAAAAATAATTTTTTTTCCGTTTAATTTCTAAGACGATGGATGTATTTATTTTGTTTGCCTTTTTTATGTTCAATTTTCAGTTGATTTAAAATAATTTTATATTACGCAGCTGAAAATTTTATCGGTAGAAATCGATAAGAGCTTGTAAAGACGGTGCATTGTCGATGTTAATATGTTTCTATAATGATCCGTCCGTTACCGTCTTATCGAGTAGGTATTTGATATGGCCATAAAAGTATCCGTACTAGCTATTTAAAGATTAAAATATGTTGCGTAGATTTCAAGACTGTTCGTCGGTTCGCATTCGTCGACTGCAATTGTCTTTTAATAGTTTTTCCACGCGTTTATTTTATTCTGTTATTTTTTTTTTTTTCTTATCATGCCAAAAGTCAAACAAAATCACGTTTCTAAGTTAAATTTTTTTTTATATACCAACCATAGTTACTGTATTTATTTTTGTAGAATATTTTTGAATTGCTTTTTTATATAAATTAAATGCTTTTTTTTATTGACTATGTTGCCTTCAAATCCGAACCCTAATTATCAGTACCTATAAAAGTTCTATCATTTATGTGGTAAAATATATAATATTCGTTTATTGCGCTTTCGTACACAAACATGACAATTTATATTACACTAAAAAAATTAACACTTCATCAGAACTATTACAATTGTTTTACATTAAGAAGTTTATGTCTCAGAAAAATCAATTTCCATCCATAATTTCAACGGCTCTTTCAMCATTATCGTCAACCTCTAAAACTGATAGGATAGGTTTATGGCAACTGMAGTAAAAAAACGAACAATTTTGATTGGAACCTATTTAAATGTTTAATAAAGATCGCATCAGTTGTATTTTTGTATTTATCGTTGTGCTAATCATTGCGATCATTTGACATTGTCAAACCAAATTCATTATTTCAAAATTCAATTAATAGTTGATTTTTATAGTCTGCAAAGTTTATGTTGAAATATCCACTCAAAATCATTGGCAAATCGTCAAAGTTTTTCCGAATACCTACATGAGAGCGAATAATGCCAAAATCGAAAGAAAAATTAACACATTTCTAGAAGTCCGATTTCAATTTTGAAAACTAATTTGAATTCAATGACTTCTTTTATGTGTTAATACATTAATAGATATTCGATATTTTGTAAAGTTTTTATAGTACAGTTGCAAATTAATGTACTCAAATTCTCAAAATGAACTTGTGATTTAAAGGTTCAACGAGYCAAAAAAAAAATGAAAAAAGTTTCCTCTCAAAACATAGAAATAAAGAGACTAACAAATTCAAATATTTTTACAAAATTAAAATTGCATTACTAAAAGTATGTTTGTTTTTCTTTCACATAATATAATGGCCTAAATGCACGCATTCATCTTACGAAGTTTCGATCAAGTCACGTGTCCTTATGCGAGTTTAACATTTTTTAGTTTTTTACC